AGCGCGCTACCGCTTGAGCCACATCCACAGTGATGCAAATGGAAACCAGGGCTTCTTGCATGTTACCCAAGCACTCTACCACTGAACCACATGCCCACCCCTAAAATGAGAATTTTGAACCAGATATCCAAACAAAGGAACAACATGGGGAAGTGGGAGGGATAAAACACGGAGGGTAACGTGGCTGGCATATTTCACTCCTTCCCAGTGTTTTATTGGAGATATGATCCTAAGCCTCACCCTCCTGAGATTTCTCAGGCACCCTCCCACCAGCGGTATGGAGTCTTCTGCGTCCCACGTGGACCCGAGCCTGGCCACCACCCGGAGCAGACAGACTGAGGCGCTGAACCTGTGCTTGCAACTTCTGCGTCAGAGGGCGCTGGTGCACCGGGGCGCGCTGGCGCAGGGTTTGGCGCTGGTGCATGGGCGGACGCTGATTCATGGCTTGGCTCTGATGCACCGGGAAGCGCTGCCGCCACTCCGCTTTCCGCCGCCGCCTTGTGGGCTTTGGGAACTGCGCCACTGCCGCATCCGGCCGCAGGTCTCGACCAGCGGCGGTCAATCGGAGTAAGGTCGTCCTCAGCCTATGGCAAAATAGAACACGTGGTTTCTTCCTTTATAATGGATGTTTCTGCAGCTTATTTGGTGACACATAATTATGAATTGATCTGTGATATTAATTAATCTACTGTGGTCGGTTATTTACACGTAAAGATTAATTTTCTATCCCCGATTACACCTGTAACTTGAGAGCAGGGGACATCATGGTGTCCATCTTTGTCCGTTCCATTGATCACACGTTCATCTTAGTAAAAAAATATCGGAGCACTCCCCCACCGTATTTCTATGTATACTTATTTTAAAATTATATATAGCCGGGCATGATGGTGCACGCCTGTGTTGGAGAGACTCAGCAGGCTGAGGCAGCAGGATCACAAATTTGAGGCCAGACAGGGCAACTTGATGAGACCCTGTCTCAAAGCAAAAAATGAAAAGGGCTCGGGATGTGACTCAGTGGTTGAGCACCCTGGGTTCAGTCTCCAGTACCCCCCAAATGTATATGTACATATATATGTGTGTTTATATACATACATACATTACATATATATAATTTATACATGTATATATGCATTTAATCTCTATATATAATATAATTTAATTTGTATGTATACATATGTAATTACACATATATAATTTGTATTCATATATTTACATACACAAATATATACACATACATATGATTCTGTACTGAATTATAGTCATAAAACAAATAAAAATACCAATTTTTTAAACAATGATAGATATAAGTAGTTTTTTTGTTTGGTTTGGAAGTGGGGATTAAACTCAGGAACACACTACCACTGAGCTACATCCCCAACCCCTTTTATTTTTGAGACAGGAGCTCTACTCATTAAGTTATCAAAGCTGGCCTAAAACTTGCAATCCTTTTGCCTCATCCTCCCAAATAGCCGGGATTATAGGCATGTATCACCAGACCTGGCCATAATTTTAATATTTATTTTTAGCTCCATTTGTCTATACCTCCCTTTATATATGTGTGTCCCAAATTAAAGATTACTCTTTTATAGTTCCTAGTATATACTGATACTTACCTTACTATTAAGGATATTTGCTATCATGAGTTTTACCATTATCATCATATTCTATGGAATCACTGTGTTATAGATTGAATTGTATCCCCGTCACAAATCCCTAAACTTCAACATGACTGTATGTGGAGATTGGGTTGTTACAAGGTTATTAAGGCTAATTGAGGTCATAAGAGGGGGCATCAATCTAGTAGAACTGTGACCTTACAAGAAGGAGAGTCCTGTCCCAGTCCCCAGCAACCCCTGCCTTCTGCCCCACCATGTGATGACACAGCAAAAAAGAGGCAGTCTGCAAGCAAGGAAGATAGCCCTCACCAGAGTGCTGCCATGCAGTCACCCTAATTTAGCTTCTAGAATTAAGAAAATAAATTTCTGATGCTTAAGCTACCTAGTCTATGATATTTTGTTATGGCAGCCTGAACCAACCAAGGCATACTGCCTGCCAATTCTGACATTTAGAAATGTAGTCTTGGAGATGAAACTTTAACTTTCTACGCTCAGTTTCCTCATCCATAAATAAACATAGAAATAATAACTGGCTGGGTGCAGTGGTACACATCTGCCACTGCACCCAGCCATATCCATTTTTATTTCTCACAGGGTCTTGCTAAATTGTGCAGCATGGCCTCAAATCCTGGCGCCTCAGCTTTCCATGTTGTTGGGATTTACAAATTTGCACCACCATGTCTGCTATCTCAGCTGCCTTCAGATAACTCAAAATCTGAAGAATTTGGAGGAGGATCCTATTTCTTTGAATCACTCAACCAAAGCACAGATATTGTAATAGATTCTAATATATTTATTTTATTTTTTAGTTTTAGGTGGACACGATATATTTATTTTTTATTTTTTAATGGGGTGCTGAGGATCGAACCCAGGGCCTCACGCATGCCAGGCGAGCACGCTACCACTTGAGCCACATCCCCAGCCCCAGCCCCTAATATATTTATTGTGATACCTTTAGATCTCTATGATGTACATTTTCTCTTTCTGTAACTGCAATGAATAATAAATCCAGCTTGACCTACTACAGGTGTGTTCCTGGTTGTCTTAGAAGCTGGATGCAAGTCGCATAGGCTGGTAATCTGTTACTCAACTTGGGAGCCTGAGGCAGGAGGATCCCAAGTTCCAGGCCACCCTCAGTAGTTTAGCAAGACCCTATCTCCAAATTTAAAAATAAAATAAAAAGGACTATGGGGCTTGGCACCGTGGCACACACCTGTAATCCCTGCGGCTCGGGAGGTGGAAGCAGGAGGATCAAGAGTTCAAAGCCAGCCTCAGCAATTTAGGGAGGTGCTAAGCAACTCAGTTAGACTCTGTCTCTAATAAAATACAAAATAGGGCTAGGGATGTGGTTCAGTGGTAGAACACTCCTGGATTCAATCCTCAGTAAAAAAAAACAAAAACCAAAAATTCTTAGAGGTAGACTTTCAGAACTCCCATCCTTCCGTCTGTTTATCCATCTGTTTATCTCTCTTCATCCCCATCTTAGATTCCTTTCTAGGTTTCACCCCAGAGATCCACCTTTGAAAGACAATAACCTACAATAAGGTCACTGTAGATGGCATATTTTGAATAAGAACTTCCAACTCTGCTATTCATTAGGGGTAATATCAAGCAAGTTATTTGACTATTTGTGTCCTCTTTTCTCATAATAATACTTCCTTCATACTATGAGTTAATAGTATTTATAATATTAAATTCATCAATATATGTTCATAAATCACACATGCTTGTACACAGTAAAGAATCAATATGATTTATTTTATTTTTATTTTTTTATGGGACTGGAGATTGAACTGAGCTACTTTCCCAGCCATTATTATTATTTTTATTATTATTATTATTATTATCATCATTTTATTTTTGAGGCAGGGTCTTGCTAAATTACAGAGGCTGGCCTCAAATTTACAATCCTCCTTCCTCAACCTCCTGAGATTCTAGGATTACAAGTGTATGCCATCATGCCAGGGCTGTAGGTACTTTAAAAAAAAAATCAAATTATATACTTTACTTATTTATTTTTATGTGGTGCTGAGAATCAAACCCAGTGCCTCGAATGTGCCAGGCAAGCACTCTACCACTAAGCCGCAATCCCAGCTTGTAGGTACCTTTTGATCTCATCCTTTTGCTTCCAAAAAAGCTCCTTCAACAAGATGTGATCTTCCTGAAGTCGAAAGAGACTGTCCTCTAGTTCCTGTCGGCTCATCTTGGTAGAGGGTAGTTGAGTTTTTATATTCTTACCTAAAGTCCCAGAAGAAGGTAATTGGAAACATTTTTAATGTAATCTTTTTTTTTTCTTAGAGAGAGAGAGAGAGAGAGAGAGAATTTTTTAATATTTATTTATTTAGATTTCGGCAGACACAACATCTTTGTTTGTATGTGGTGCTGAGGATCGAACCCGGGCTGCACGCATGCCAGGCGAGCGCTATACCGCTTGAGCCACATCCCCAGCCCCTTAATGTAATCTTTTTAACCCATCGGATCTCACATCACATCTTATACAAAGAGCATGAGTCTAACTTGAATTAGGAAGTATGTGCCATGACCACTAATGGACCTCTGGAGGATTCCCTCTACCCTTCCAGCATGAGCCAAGATGACCTCCTCTCTGCAAATTACATTCTGTCAATAAAAATGTCAAGTAGAGATTTTTTTTCTACTTAATCTTTTTTTTTAATCTATTTTTCCTCCTTAGTAGATAATTTGAACCTATACAAGGTTGTGCCCATGATTATTTTCAAAACCCCCATAAGGAAAAGCATAAAAACCTTTCCTGATTACCAAGAGTCATCTCATTTCCTTTTGAGGTTTGGATAAACACTTCCCAAATTGCATCTTTGGGATACAGCCTCTACTTGTTCTAGGCAGAAGAAGTTAGATCTTCATGGGCAACATGAGTTCACTGGTCCGTGTCAGTTCTGATCTCCCCGTAAATGGGAATTACCATAAAACCCAAGAGCTCATGGGCTGGGGTTGTGGTTCAGGGGTAGAGCTCTTACCTAGTATGTGCGAGGCACTGAGTTTGATCCTCAGCACCACATAAAAATAAATAAATAGGGCTGGGGTTGTGGCTCAGCGGTAGAGGACTCATCTTGCACATGAGAGGCCCTGGTTTCCATTCTCAGCACCACATAAATAAAATAGAGATATTGTGTTCAATTACAACAAAAAATAAATATCTAAAAATAAATAAATAAATAAAATAAAGGTATTGTGTCTGACTACAACTTTAAAAAGATATATATTAAAAAAAAACCCAGAGCTCATATTTAAATCATTGACATCATTACTGATTAATGATTTTTTTTTTGTACCAGAGATTGAACCCAGGGATGCTGAGTCATATCCCTAGCCCTTATTATTTTTTATTTTGAGACAGGTCACACTCAGTTGCTTAGGGCCTTGCCAAATTGCTGAGAGTGGTTTGAACTTCCTGCCTAAGCCTTCTAAGCCTCTGGTATTACAGGCCTGCATCACTATACCCAGCTCGACAAAAAAGTGTGAGTTAAGAGGATTAAATGTCATTAAATTATACTTTACTATTAATGAAAAAGAACAAAATAAATAAATAAATAGATAAATAAGAGGTTTAAATATCAGTTTCTTTCCTCTCATGTGAAACATTAGACATATCCCATTTTTGTATCAATTTTCAATGACTTAGCTTCTCTCAAAGAGGACTGAAATAAATGGCAGGTAAAGCTGGATGCTCACTAAGTTTTTCTCAGAGTAAAATTATCATGCAAATTAAAGATCTTGGCATCTGCCTGTTTCTACTTCTGGGCTTGTTTCTTCTTTCTTTTTAAAAATCTTTTTCCAGCTGGGCACTGTGGCACATGCCTGTAATCCCAGCGGCTCAGGAGGCTGAGACAGGAGTTCAAAGCCAGCCTCAACAAGAGGCTGTGAGCAACTCACAATGGTGCTAAGCAACTCAGTGAGACCCTGTCTCTAAATAAAAAAATATAAAATAGGGCTGGGGATGTGGCTTAGTGGCCGAGTGCCCCTGAGTTCAATCCCTAGTAACAAAAAAACAAAAACAAAAAAACTCTTTTCTCATTTTTTTTTTCCTCATATTTTTTAGTTATGCATTACAATTATACATAAGGGTAGAAAGTGCTATTACATGTTCATATTTGTACATAATACAACAATATAATTTGTCCAATATTGTTCTCCAGTGTTTCCCCTTTTCCTCATCTCCTCCCTCCCTCAGCCCTGTAAAAGGTTTCTTGTTAGGGTGATAAATACTCTAAATTACATATTGGTAGTGAATGCACAACTCTGTGAATATACTAAAAATTATTGAATTATGTACTTTATTTTTTTTTAATTTTTAATATTTATTTTTTAGTTTTCAGCGGACACAATATCTTTGTATGTGGTCCTGAGGTTTGAACCCAGGCCGCACGCATGCCAGGCGAGCGTGCTACCGCTTGAGCCACATCCCCAGCCCTGAATTATGTACTTTAAAGGAGTGAATTTTGTTGATTTCTTTTTCTTTTTTTTCCTGTGGCACTAGAGGTTGAACCCAAGGCACTATATCCTTAATCCTTTTTATTTTTTATTTTGAGGCAGAGTCTTGCTAAGTTGCTGAGACTGGCATCAGATTTTCAACCATCCATCTCAGCCTCCTAAATCAAAGAGATTACAGGTGTGTGCCACCGCACTAGGCTTGGTATGTAAATTTTCCTTAAAAACTGTTTATATAGGGCTGGAGTTTTAGCTAAGTGGTAGAGTGCTTGCCTCACATGTGTGAGGCCCTGGGCTCGATCCTCAGAACCACATAATAAATGAACGAATGAATGAATATAAATATTGTGTCCATCTACAACTAAAAAAATATTTAAAAAAAGAACCTGTTTATATAGCTGGGCACAAACACATGTATCACTAAACTTTAAAAAAAAAAATAGAACATTAGAGCTGGAGTTGTAGCTCTGTGGTAAAGCACTTGCCTAGCATGTGTGAGGCACTGAGTTTGATTCTCAGCACCACATATAAATAAATAAAATAAAGGTCTATTGACTTTTATAAATAAATAAATAAATAAAAATAGAACATTACTAATATGTATACTAAGAACTCCCTATAAATCCCTTATTCTTCCTTTCTGCAAAAGCTGTAGTAATAACTCTTACATTGCTTTATAATTTTATAGATACTTAAATTTATCCTACAATTCTTTTTATAAATTTATCATATATACATATATATATATATATATATTTTCCTAAACAATACATAGATCAGTCTTCCCTGATTTTCATATTTACACATACTAAACCATTCTTTATTTACTCTTCTGTGATGGCTTCTTTTGCTCAACATTGTTTTTGAAATTCATCCAAGTTAACAGTAGCTGAGTCATTCTTATTCACTTTTTGCTATTATTACTTTTTCTCCTCCTTTTCCTTCTTCTTTTTCTCTTGCACTACTGGAGATTGAACCCAGGAGTGCTCTACCACCAAGCTATATCCCCAACACTTTTTATTTTTTGAGATGGGGTCTTGCTAAATTGCTGAGGCTAACTACAAACTTGTAATCCTCCTGCCTCAACCTCCCGAATTGCTGGGGTTAAAGTCATACACCACCACATGTGATGGCCTACTATCATTTCATTTTACAAATACATATCAATATATTTTTTTAAAAAGAGAGAGAGAGAGAGAGAGAATTTTTTAATATTTATTTTTTAGTTCTCGGCAGACACATCTTTGTTGGTATGTGGTGCTGAGGATCGAACCTGGGCCGCACGCATGAAAGGCGAGCGCGCTACCGCTTGAGCCACATCCCCAGCCCTACATATCAATATAGATTCATTTTCTGATTATTAGACATTTAAGTTGTTCCTATTTTTTACTCTTATGACTAATGCTGCTATAAATATTCTGATACATGTTTTCTTGTACACAGGTGAAAGAATTCCTACAAATTCATACCCAGTTCAACAGTACTAGATAATGCCAACCCTTTTTCCAAAGTGGGTGTACTATGTATACAGCTAGCTGTGGGCAGTATACACCGTGCCCTATCCTTGATAAAAACATATATATGTGAAAATAGTATCAACTGTAGCTATGATTAGGATTGAATGATGGGAGAGAAGGAACAAATTTACAAAAATATCTTAAGGCCTGTGTAGAAGAAGCTCTGGTCAGGAAGAACCCTTTCATCTTATCTACTACTGCTTAAGGGGACTGATAGACTAATCATATGCATAAATGTGTGAAACATGTTAATTTGTTCTTGACTTTTGATATGTTGTCTCCGGTGTTGGTAACAGAAATTTTATTATAAGAATTATCTTCCCTAGCATGTACAAGGCTCTGAGTTCAATTCCTGTTAGTACCCCCACTCCACATACATGTAAAAGAAAAGAAAGGGGCGGGGGAAGGAAGGAAGGAAGAAAAAAAGTTAAAATAAAAAACTATTTTAAGAACAGGTATTGAAAGATTGAAGAGAAAACTGAAAGCAAAGCAGTCATGGTGAAAACTAGCAAAATTTTCCACAATGGCAGACTTAAAGTTGTTTTAATTCTCAAAAAATCTGTCCCCAGGCATTATATTTACCTTTTTAAAAAAATTTTTAATATTTATATTCTCGGCGGACACAACATCTTTGTTTCTATGTGGTGCTGAGGTTTGAACCCGGGCTGCTCACATGCCAGACAAGTGTGCTACCACTTGAGCCACATCCCCAACCCAATATATTTACCTTTTGACAGAGGTATTGAGTCGATGTCTCTGACCAGCAGAAACCCTGATGCATGTTTCACCACCTGTGACATCATCTCAGCTCTCTAGTTGTAAGAGATTCCAGAGAACACAAAATAGAGGGAAAGTTCAGCCAATTAGAGAAAACTTTAGGGTGACTTCTGTAATCTGTACAAGTTGTAGCAGGAGTTTCTCAACACTTTCATGATGGTATATGATACATCATAGTCATATTTACCTGATGTGGACAACTCTAAGAATAAGACCATGCACTGAGTATTAATGACATTTTAAATTCAAAATTGAAGTCAATTTTTTTCTGATTATAGAACATATTGCATCAATTTTTAGGTGAATCCTCAGCCTGGAAACCATTGACCACACTTTCTCTGGGAAATGGACCTTTAACCCTATTCTCCACACAATTTATAGGGGCTGACTTTCAGGAACCAGTTTATACTCTAATTTTATTCCAATTCTCACAGCCACTGTGATAGGATCAGGGACAAACAACAGACCCAAGCTGGGGAATCAGATTCTTTCTCCTAGAAACTGGAAATTAGACTGAGAAAGTTAAATTAGCCTCTGTGAATGGCTAGAACCATTAAGTCAACTTGGGAGGGCTAGGGTGGTCATATTCTACTCTCTACCCTGAATAACCAGGAAATCCATCCATAAATTGCCTTAGACCTTAGTCAATACTCTTTTTCCTGGGTGATAGTACCCAGTCTTTTGGCTTTAAATACTACACAAAAATATGCTGCTGCTTCCAAAATTTATGTATCCAGCAATTGACCTTCAAATTTGTACATCTTCTTATTTTTTAAACACTTGCATTTAAAATATTTATTTTTTAGTTTTCGGTGGACACAACATCTTTGTATGTGGTGCTGAGGATCAAACCCGGGCTGCACGCATGCCAGGCCAGCGCGCCACCACCTGAGCCACATCCCCAGCCCCTAAACACTTGCATTTACATGGTTATTAGATATCACAAACACATACTCCTAAAGAGGAGTTTCAATTTCTCCCTCCAATATGATCTTTTCCCAGTCTTTCCCCATCTCCATAAATGGTACTAGTACCCTAGCATTCCTAAAACCTTGCTTCCTCCCTTTCTCTCATCCACTAGTATACCCTCTAGATTCTTCCTTAAAACAAATGAACAAAAAGCTATAGAACCCCCCCCCAAAAAAGCTATAGATCTCTCTGTAACCACCACTGTAATTCAAGTCACTCGAGTCTTTCTTCAACTACTATAAAGTTTCCTTAATGCTCTCCCCATTTTTATCTGACCCTTCTCCATCAAGTCTCCCCGAAACATCTAGAATGACTTTTATAAAATAATGCAACTTATAGCATCTTCTGTTTAAAAGCCCCCACTGGCTTTTTATTACATTTAGAATAAAAGCTAAACTTTTTACTGGGTTCCTACACCACTTGACCCACTTCTTGCTTCTTTAGTCACACCATCTGCCTCTCCTGGTCTAGCTCACAAACTCCTCACTCACTACTGGCTTCCTCTCTGCTCCCTGAACCCTTAAGGGCCCTGTTCCCAAGCCCTTTGTAATCTGCTGGAATCCTGTTTCCTTTGCTCTTTATGTGGCATTTCCTTCTCATTCTTCAGTTTCTTAGCATCTTTCCATCTGTCAAGAGACCTTTCTCCAACCTAGATATAAGTGAGCACTTTCCCAGTTATACTTTGTCATATCACTCTGTTTTATTTCTCTTGTAACATTCACAATCCTCAGAAACCATTTAAATTTATGTATACTTGTTTATTGTCTTTTTCCCTTACTAAAATATAAGGACTTTGAAGGCAGAGAATTGGTTTATTTTGTTTACCTGTATATACCCAGCATCTGAACAGTTCCTAGAACAAAGAAGACAACCAATATATCTGTGTCAAATCATTGAAAAGATGAATGAATGAACAATTCAAGAAAGAAGATGATAACAAAGGGCTGAGATGAGTCTAAAAGTCCTGGAAAGCCTGTAATTCCAGCTACTCAGGAGGCTGAGGCAAGAGGATTGCAGTTGGAAGCCAGCCTGGACAACTTAATGAGATCCTGTTTCAAAATAAGACAAAAAGTGCTGAAGATATAGCTCAGTGCTTGCCTAGTATGTGCAAGGGCCTGGGTTCAATCCCCAGTACTAGCAGGGGGCAAGTCCTGAAAGCATTCTATTTTCTTTCTTTCTTTCTTTCTTTCTTTGGTGCATTCTAAACTTTCTATTCTTGTTTCTAATCTTTTCCAAGGTCTGACTCTATTTCTACCCTTAGGTTCTATGGGATAGTTCTGTGTTAACAAAGACCCCTTTTGTTCTGAAGTTGGACTTGTCAACTTAAGAACTTTGTTCACAAGCTTATTTTTGTTTTGTTTTTTTTTTTTAAATATCTTTTAGATGTTGATGGACCTTTTTATTTTTATTTATCTAAATGCAGTGCTGAGGATCAAATCCAGTGTCTCACACATACTAGGTAGGTACTCTACCACTGAACTACAACCCCAGTCCTTGTGTTTTGTTTTTTTGCAGTGCTGGGAATTGAACTCATGACCTTGTACTTCCTAGCCAAGTGCTCTACCACTGAACTAAATCCCCAGTCCCACTAGGTTATTTTGAACAAACAGGGAAATATAAAGAAGTTAAAAAGCATGATGGAGGAATTCCATCACCAGGAGAGGATATTAACATAATGTTGATCTACTTTCCTAACAATTTAATTTGTCAAGCTCATTCATACTGTGTTCTATAATGTTTCTTTTTTCTTTCTTTTTGATACAATATCTTAATTTTATGTGATGCTGAGGATCAAACCCAGTGCCTCACACATGCTAGGCAAACACTCTACCATTACCACTGAACTACAGCCCAAGCCCTGTAATGTTTCATTTTTAAAATCACAATAAGTAGAAAGTATCTTTCTTTCTTTCTTTCTTTCTGTTTTTTTTTTTGGGGGGGTGGGTGGGTACTGGGTATTGAACCCAGGGGCTCTTAACCACTGAGCCACCTCTCCAGCTCTTTTTTTATATTTTATTTAGAGACAAGGTATTGCTTAGGGCCTCACTAAATTGCTGAGGCTGGCTTTGAACTTGTGATCCTCCTACCTTACTCAGCCTCCTAAACTGCTACAATTACAGGCATGTGCCACCATGCCTGGCTTGGAGAGAGAGCATCTTTCCAATGACATAATTTTGGATATATACAGATTTCATAGCATGTCTAATTTTTTAGTTGTAGATGGATATAATATCTTTATTTATTTACTTTTATGTGATGCTGAGGATTGAACCCAGTACCTCACATATGCAAAGCAGGCACTCCACCATGGAGCTACAGCCCCAGCCCTAGCATGTCTAATTTTAAGGAAGCTGAATGATCACCCAAAAGTTGTACTTTCAGATGTTAGGCAATGGTCCTAGGATTAGAACAGAGTGAAGCAATTAAGAAACTCAAATGAGCGATTATTTTAAAGTCAATCTCTCACTATTTTTTTTTAATCTCTCACATTTAAGGTAGCATTTTCATGTTGACTAAGTCACTGATCTTCCTACTCTCCTCCAATAGAGAAGTCATATGAAAGTAAAAGAAACATGACCACATTACAGACATGGTCCTCTGAACTTGAAGTCATTTGCAAAAATGGAGCTGTAGTGGAAGAAAAGTTGCTCTGGTTTTTTAATATCTGAGCACAGAGAAGATTGTTCCAGGGCTGGGGATGTGGCTCAAGCGGTAGCGCGCTCACCTCGCATGCGTGCGGCCCGGGTTCGATCCTCAGCACCACCTACCAACAAAGATGTTGTGTCCGCCGAGAACTAAAAAATAAATATTAAAAAATTCTCTCTCTCCTCTCTCACTCTCTTTTTAAATAAATAAATAAATAAATGAAATGGAGTTTATCAGAATGCCAGAAAAGAAAACCCAGGAAAGACTCGGTGAAGGTGTGATGAAGAAACATCCAAAATCCAAGTAAGTGACCAGATTTAATCTTTCAGAGGGGAAAAGGACAGTACACTTAAGAAGCAAAGATTTATGGGCTGGGGATGTGGCTCAAGTGGTAGCGGGCTTCCCTGGCATGCTTGTGGTCCAGGTTCGATCCTCAGCACCACATACAGAGAAAGATGTTGTGTCCACCGAAAACTAAAAAATAAATATTAAAAAAAAATCTCTCTCTCTTTAAAAAAAAAAAAAAAAGAAGTAAAGATTTATTTTACAGGGCGTGGTGGTGCACACCTATAATCCCAGCGGTTTGGAAGGCTGAGGCAGGAGCAAAGGCAAGGTGCTAAGCAACTCAGTGAGATCCTGTATCTATTAAAATGCAAAATAGGGCTGGGGATGTGGCTCAGTGGTTAAGTGCCCCAGAGTTCAATCCCTGGTATCAAAAAAAAAAAAAAAAAATAGAAGGATTTACTTTTTTCAAAAGTTTTTTTGGGGGCAGTACTAGGGCATCTCATATGCTAGGCAAGTGCCCTAACACTGAGGTACATTCCACAGTCCATTTTAATTTATTTTTTATTTTGAGATAGGATCTTGCTAAATTGCCCAGGTTGGCCTTGAACTTGCAATGTTCCTGTTTTAGCCTCCTGAATAGCTGGAATTTCAGGCATGAGTCACCATGCCCAGTGAAAATAGTTCTTCTCTCTCTTTTTTTTTTTTTTTTAGTAGAAGGGATTAAACCCAGTGGTGGTTTACCACTGAGCCACATTCCCAGCCCTTTTCATTTTTTATTTTGAGACAGGTTTCACTAAATTTCTTAGGGCCTTGAACTTGTGATTCTCCTACCTCAGTCTCTGGGATTACAGGCGATTATCAATGCACCCAGCTAAGAATAGTTCTTTAGTAGTGATAGATGTATAAACCACCTTGTTGACACCAGCAATTAAAATTATACTGTCTTTACTTCTCTTTACTCTGATTCTATGCTTACCTTTGATTAAATCTGGAGAGAGTGAAATGTAAATAGTGACTGTGATCACAAGCCTAGGAAAAAGAAATACATAGGATCACATGTATCCTTTACCGTGACCATACACAAGTTTCTTTCTTTTTAATATGCCAAGGCCAATGTCTCGGCTTGGCACCAGAATCACGAGGCACTCACAGCTTTGTAGGTTCAAACAGCAATTCTTTATTCCCGCTCTCACACCGCCTCCACACAGGTCCAGGGGCAAACACGTTCTGCCATCTCCCGCACAAACCACCTACCCACGAGGCTCTCTCCAAATCCCATTTTAATCTCACGAGAACTCAACGGGAACAAGCAGCAGGAACACCCTAATCCCAGCAATAATCTTCAACTTCCAACTTCCCTAAAACCCATTATCTTAAACTGGCAACGCCTTAAACTCAAGGAGCCGGTTACTTCCTCAAACCTGATCAGCTCTAAACCCGGATCTGCCTTGGTCCTTGAGCAAGGTCACCTTATTAAAGTATGCATGCAATGTCCCATCGAATGTCCTCTAAGCAGCATGGGGTACGCTTGGCAAGGAAATTTCGATGCGTCATTCCTACTTGGTAATGGCCCTCAGCATTAATAGTCAAGTTTCTTGGGCTGGGAATGTGGCTCAGGCGGTAGCGCGCTCCTCTGGCATGCCTGCGGCCCGGGTTCAATCCTCAGCACCACATACCAACAAAGATGTTGTGTCCACCGAGAACTAAGAAATAAATATTAAAAAAAATTCTCTCTCTCTCTCTCTCACTCTCAAAAAAAAATAGTCAAGTTTCTTAATCGGCATCCTTTGTTTCCTTGTTTGTAAAACAGGAGTGAAAAACATACCTTATACACCTCTGAGGAGGATTAATTGAGGTCATACCTATAAAAACAGCTTAATTCACTTAGTATAAGCTCTGCATTAGTTAAATTTCAGCTCTTTTATTTTTTATAATTTTTTATTTTTTTAGCTGTGGATGGACACAATACCTTTATTTAATTAATTAATTTATTTTTATGTGGTGCTGAGGATCGAACCCAGTGCCTCATACTTGTGAGGCAAAGGCTCTGCCACTGAGCCACAATCCCAGCCCAAATATTAGCTCTTCTTGATATTTCCTGTGAACTAGTCTCTGGACAATATTGCATTTATCAATATATATTAATAATGTATATGTGATGATATACATAATTCTATTTTTGTTTTGGTTATTATTAGTTCTTTACAGTGTTTATATATATTATACTTTTCTTTATTACTAGCTCTTTTTTTTTTTTTTTTTTGGTATGAGGGATTGAACTCAGGGGCACTTGATCACTGAGCCACATCCCCAACCCTATTTTGTATTTTATTTAGAGACAGGGTCTCACTGAGTTGCTGAGTTACTTAGTGCCTTGCTTTTGCTGAGGCTGGCTTTGAACTCTGTGATCCTCCTGTCTCAGCCTCCCCAGCTGCTGGGATTATAGGCGTGCACCACAGTACCTGGCTCTATATAAAGCTCTTTTGAGGATATCTTTGTATGTCTAGTACCTAACAGGGCTCAGTACATACAGATGTATAATAATATTTCATAGGATTTAGTGTTATGAACTGGATTCTGGTGCAAATTGTTTTCCTTTTTAGAACTATCTTTAATGATTATACAAAGTATTTTTTGAGAAACTGAATTTTTAATTTTAATTAAATATTTAAAAACTGGTATTTGATTCAAGTATTGTAAAACATGCATATTCGGAACATGTCTATACATTTCACATTGATAATGATCCACTTTGAAAAAAGTTCTTATTTGAGTATAGAAAAATATCATTTCTCACTTATTTGAATTGCCAACTTTGTTTTAAAGCCTGAAGCAATGTTAATATAGCTATCTCCTCTCACTACCAGGGGAAGAGTATTCCATTTTATACTTCAAGCTAATTTAAGCTGTAAATTACATACTGTCTTTAAGTAGCCTTCAATCACACATGATAAGCATCTTAACATCTATAAAATGACCACCTAAAGAAATACAACTGAATTCATAGAAGGATGTATTAAATCAAAAATACATGCCAATACCACCAATATGGTTTATACAAAGTTTTGTATTAATTTTCCCTAAGAACAGTAAGGTTAGGTCCTAGATCCCACCCCAGGCATTAAAAAAAAAAAAAAAAAAAAGTGAGTGAGATCTATAATGGTGTCATGGATTTGAATATGAGAGAGGAAGAATAGAAATTCCAAAATCAGGGAAAAAAAAAGTGCTCAAAGAAATGTTAATAGCATTTCAGTAGAGTATAGGAGATGATATTGCAAAAATATTTCTATCTTTAAAAAATTTAGCAATTAAGTGGAGCATAGTGGCAAATGCCTGTAATTACAGCTACAGGAAGGCCAAGGTCAAACTATTGCAAGTTCAAGGCCAGCTTGAGCAACTTGGTGAGACCCTGTTTGAAAATAAAATAGAAAGGGCTGGGAATATATCTCAGCAATAGAGCACTTGCCCAGCAAGTGCAAGGCTCTGAGTTTAATTCCCAGTCTTAAAAAAAAAAAAAAAAATCCTCGGTTAAATGGGCCTATGTGCCTAAATTTCAAAGTTGGATTGGAAATTCAAGTCTTCCTCCTACATAATAAATTAATTCTAACAGACCCCAAATAGTCCCCTAGGATATGGGCTTCTCTAAGTTGGAGGTCTGGAGGAAGAAAGGCACAAATTGTAAATAGACGGTTAAAGAAAACTATAGTAAGGGAACCCAGTAGCTGATGAGATGAAAGAATCCAGAAAGAAACTTGAAACAGAGATAACAAGAAGCTATGGAGGAATGGACACAGGCTCTGTAACTGTAGTGTTGGTTGTATGAGTACTCAGGTAAGGGGGATTGGAAATTCTGGAATTCTGATTGAACTTAATTTGGCAAATATAACTGTGTGCCTGTTATGCAGTTATGTGCAGTTTCAGGGGGAAGAAAAACAGAACCCTTGTTCTTAGGAAATAAGTAATTAAAAGGGTAAATAAGAAAAGCCAGTCTTAAAAATTATTATTTTTATTTTTATTTTTGGTTCTGGGAATTGAACCCAGGGCACTTTACCACTGAGGCACATTCCCAGCCCTTTTTATTTTTTATTTTGAGGCAGGGTTTTACTAAGTTGCCAAGGCTGGCCTGGAACTTATGATCCTCCTACCTCAGCTTCTCAAGTTGCAGGGATAACAAGTGTGTGCCAATACATCTGGCCATATTCTTAATTATGAGGTTAAAATATAAAAAGTTAGAGCAAAGTGGGAAAGTAAAAGAAAGATGAATCAGGCGTAGTGGTACACACCTGTAATCCCAGAGGATCAGGAGTTCAAAGCCAGCCTCAGCAATTTAGCAAGGCCTTAAGCAACACAGTGAGATCCTGTGGAAAACAAAATGCAAAATAGGGCTGAGGATGTGGCTCAGTGGTCAAGTGCCCCTGAGTTTAATTCCTGGTACCCCCGCAAAAAAAAAAAAAAAATATGAGAATCAGTTTTTATTTACTTTTTTGTAGTACTAGGCATTGAATTCAGGGGCTCTACATGCTAGGCAAATACTATACCATTGAACTACATCCCCAACCCAAGAGTCATGTTTACCTGAAGGATCAGGTAAAACTTTGTGGAAGAAGGGTTGTAGGAAACTGGGAGAGATTTTTGCAGGTAGAGATACAAAATATTCCATACAGAGAAGACAGTTTGAATAGCGTCAGAGTTGGGCAGTGTGGAAATTTTATAGCTAGCTAGATAGATAAATATAGATATATATAGATATAAAGATATATATATATATATATTTATATATATAAAGATATACATATACATATCTTTACCTTTATTTCATTTATTTATTTTTAGGTAGTGCTGAGGATCAAATCCAGCGCCTTACACCTGCTAGGTGAGAGCTCTACCACTAAGCCACAACACCAGCACCACCCCAGAGTTGTGGAAATTTAAGTGAAAGAAAATATATTTTGGAAGGCCTTGCATATAAGATAGAAGAGTTTTATAACCTTTGACTAATATCTCCTCAACTGTGTAATAAAATTTCTGTTAAATATGAGAAATAAATTAAAAGGATTTATTGTAGAACATGGTGACTAGAGTTAATAAGAAAGTACTGGATTTTTTTTTTTTTTTTTTTTTTTTTGCTTATTTATGTGCAGTGCTAAGAATCAAACCCAGTGCCTCATACATGCTAGGCAAGCTCCACTGAGCTACAACTTCAGCTCTAGATTCTTTTCTTTTTTTTTTTTTTTTTAAAGAGAGAGTGAGAGAGGAGAGAGAGAGAATTTTTAATATTTATTTATTTTTTAGTTCTCGGCGGACACAACATCTTTGTTGGTATGTGATGCTGAGGATCGAACCCGGGCCGCAAGCATGCCAGGCAAGCATGCTACCGCTTGAACCACATCCCCAGCCCCAATGGATTCTTTTCTTAAATATTTCTCAGAGAATAGATTTCACATACACACATAAAAGATAAATGTTGGACTGAGGATGTAGTTCAGTGATACAGTGCTTGCCTACCATGTATGAAGTCATGATCACTACTACTGTCTCTACCCCCCAAAAAATATAAATATGTGAGGGAATGCATAGGTTAATTAGCTGGATGGAGTAATTCAGAATGTGTTACATTTTGAAACAATATATTGTATGCAATAAGTACATAAAGGGGCTGGGACTATGGCTCAGTGGTAGAGCACTGACCTAGCATGCACAGGACCCTGGGTTGGATCCTCAGCATCACATAAAAATAAAAGAATACAATAAAGGTATAGTGTCCAACTACGACTAAAAAATAAATAAATAATAGGATTTTTATTTTCAATTAAGAAAAAATTAATTGCTTGGTGTATTGGCATATGCCTGTAATCCTAGCAACTCAGGAGGCTGAGGCAGACGGACAGCAAGTTGGAGGCCGCTTTAGCAATTTAGCAAGACCCTGACTCAAAATAAAAAATAATAATCAATAAAAAGGGGGCTGGGGATGTGGCTCAAGCGGTAGCGCACTTGCCTGGCATGTGTGCGGCCCAGGGTTCGATCCTCCAGCAGCACATACAAACAAAGATGTTGTGTCCGCCGAAAACTAATAAATAAATAAATAAATATTTTAAAAAAAATAATAATAATAATCAATAAAAGGGATTAGGTGTGAAACTTATTGGTAAATTACCCTTGGGTTTAAACCCCAGAACCAAAAATAAAACAAAACAAAACACACAACATCTCAGAGTAAAAACAGGAGATTATAAAATATGTGTTAGATATAAACTTACAGTTATAGGCTTCTCCAGAGAGCTCACTCTAGTTCTTTTCTGTGGGTGCTCTCTTGTCCTCTAATGTTCTAGGCCACAATCCTCTTGTCCTCTGGCTTGTGAAGGGAGAGGGTAATCCGGGTTTGTAGCTTTGAAGTTAACCCTTTATAGATCAGACTATAAAGACTTGCTTTTGTTCTGTGCATGTTGTACTTGGAGAAACTGCAGCTTAAATATTTCTTAACACACTGATTTATCCACTAAAACTAAAGCTGAAACATATTTGTTTGATCTGAGATTAACAGAAATTTGTTGATGTTGGAAGAAGGATCTTTAAATCTCTCTTTGAAGGGTCACAATGGGAGACTTTATTATAGAGCCCTGAGATCTCTCTGAAGAGAGCAAATCCTGCTGTGTTGATGAGATCAATGTGACAGCTTAATCCACAGATGCCAGAAACTTTTCAAGTACAAAAAATGAATTTAGACCATTATATATCAACATTTCACTAGGCTCAATGTATGATAAACATGGAAAATAAAGCCTTGATCCATGTCAAAGGAATTTTAGTCATCAAATAGGAGTTGGAGATACTATTTTTTAATAACATTTTTCTGATTACAAATTAATATATGTTTATGTAAGACATGAATGGAAAAATAAAAAGTAAAATTCTTTTATAATCTTAGCATCCAGATATAACTATTTAAACATACATAATTTTTAAGTGAAAATATGATTTTTAAAAATTTATTAAAAATATTTTTAGTGGGCTGGGGATGTGGCTCAAGCGGTAGCGCGCTCGCCTGGCATGCGTGCGGCCCGGGTTCGATCCTCAGCACCACCTACCAACAAAGATGTTGTGTCCGCCGAGAACTAAAAAATAAATAAATATTAAAAATTCTTTCTCTCTCTCTCTCTCTCTCTAAAAAAAAAAAAAAAAAGATTTTTAGTGGGGTTGGGGTTATGGCTCAGTGGTAGAGCACTTGCCTAGCATGTGCAAGGCCCTGGGTTCTATCCTCAGGACCCATGTAAAAATGAATAAAACAAAGGTATCGTGTCAAACTATGACTAAAAAATAAATTAGAAAAATATTTTTGGGGGGCTGGGGATATGGCTCAAGCGGTAGTGCGCTTGCCTAGCATGCATGTGGCCCGGGTTCGATCCTCAGCACTACATACAAACTAAAATGTTGTGTCTGCCGAAAACTGAAAAATAAATATTAAAATTCTCTCTCTAGGGCTAGGGATGTGGCTCAAGCGGTAGCGGGCTCGCCTGGCATGCGTGCGGCCTGGGTTCAATCCTCAGCACCACATACCAACAAAGATGTTGTGTCCGCCGAGAACTAAAAAATAAATATTAAAAA